TATAATAATTAGGCAATACTTTTAGTTTTTTTAGATTATTTTTAATTATTTAATATTTTTAGTTTTTTAGATTATTTTTAATTATTTAATATTTTTAGATTATTTTTAATTATGTAATAATTTTAGTTTTCTTGAACTCTTTTTAATTATGTAATATATATTTGAGAATCAGATTATAATAAATTTTTAATCTTATAATTATTGGATTGTAAATGTAAAGTGCATTAGTTACAAACAACATATGGGGTGCGATTTTTTACAGTGAGATATATGCGGTGCAGTTTATGGTTTGGGAAAATGCTCAAACCACATGTGCAGTTTGGTTTGACTCCAAACTGCACTAAGTGGCCGTTTACCAAATATTTATCCGGTAAGCGTTTACCGGTAAAATTTTACACTACCACTTACTTACCGGGTAAGACCTTAGTCCACCAAAACGGTATCGTATGCAACAATTTACAGAGTAAGTGCTTACCATGGTAAGAGTCATCGTCCTCACTTACCTGGTAAGACTTTCGGTCCTTGTTGGCCTCTTACCGGGTAAGATTTTTGGTCCTAACCATATTTATCTGGTAAGGTAATGTGACTTGGTAAGCACTTACCCGGGTAAACATTTGATAAACGGCCCCTAAATCCCTACTTTTATATACGTTATTTTTTTTACAGGTAATATCATTTGTTAGATGATTTACAATTACAATATAAACTAAAAACATAGAATATTAGAATTCCTGGATCTAGTGAAATTTTAAAATCTAGATAATAAAAGGAATTTAGGTCTTTTCACATTCACTGTTGTATATCGATCAATTATAATTGATATACAAGTCAAGTTTTATACCGTATATCAACCAAGTATATTTGATACCAACTAATTGGTACCAACATATATTTCGGTTGGTACATGTTAGTACTAGTTTTGTACCAATTTTAAATTACATATATAAAAATTTGTCAATTTGTTCAAGTTTTAAGTGAATTTTTTAGAGTTTGCAAGTAACGCATATTATGTTTAAGGGTTTTCAGTTGTAAGGAATAAAATTTGTAAACATTCAAATCTTCAAACAAAGTAGTAGTCGGTAGTACAAAACTTAAGAATCAAGAAATGTGTTTATAACTAATTAAATAATTCAATATGATGGTGCTACCATAATTGGTACGCGACTTTTAATATCACGTATTAATTCAGTTTGCATACTTGGTGCAATATTATCAATTTAACTGGTACGGTTGGTACACATGTTTAGTTGTAACTAGTTTGGTTGAAAATTTACCCATAGTTTATAGACGACTTTTTTGAATAACTACTTAATGTAGCATGTCAATAAGTTTCAATTTTTTTTTATAAAACTTGCTCTTTGTATTTAACATAACCGATCAAAACTCCATCTTTTGGGTAATTTATATCAGCGATGGCTAAAATTCGGTCTCGAGTAGGGCTGAAGCCGGTCCCAGGCCGGAACAGTAACAATTCGGATCGGTCCCGTCGAAAATAGTAAGGCCCGGTTAAAGGTACTTGTAACCGGACCCAAACCGGTTCTATATTAAAAAAACATTTTCTTTTATATACATATTTTTAATTTTTTTTGATAAAATTTTAAAAATACTTTAATGTTATTCTAATACACTTTAAAATATATAATTAGATCAATCAAATACACTTAAAAAATACGTTTTATTGCAATTTTATAATTGATTTTCAATCAAATGCACTTAAAAATTACGTTTTATTACAATTATATAATTGGTTTTCAGTCAAATACATTTAAAAAATGTGTTTTATCGTAAATTTTTTGATTTTCAATCAAAGACACTTAGAAAAAGTTAGAAAAACATTTAAAAATATTTTTTTTAAAAAAAAAATCGGGCCGGTCCTTGTTTTTGGATGAAAACCATAACTGGTCCTTAACCAGTGGCCCCAATCAGTCCCGGGCCGGGTCGGTCCTAAGTCGGTCCCGGTCTGAACCGGGCCCATTTGGCCATCTCTATTTATATTATCATCTAATTTATCAACTATTTTTTTTATCAAATAACAACTACCTTTTCACCTAGTTTATCAAAGATAACTCGTGTTATCTCTTGTTATGCATTTGTCATAAATGTTTTGGTATTTTTGTGCTTTGTATCTCTTCCATGCTTGACTTGGGATCACGTGAAACCAACTTGTTTTCTTGAGACCCGTGAAACCATTTTTTTACACTTGAAACTTTATAGCAAAACGCTGTGAATGTTCGATTTTTTTTACCTTCACAACATTTTGCTTTGAAATTTCAAGTGTAAAAAAAATGGTCTTACGAAAATAAGTTGGTCTTACGTAAATCCAACCCTCCATACTTTATTATTATTATTATTATTATTTAATAACATATTTAAAAAAAATGTGTATAGAAATGAAAGAAATAGGGTTTGGATAGAAAAGGAAAGGCCAAAAGTGTAAAAAGAAAGTTGATGTTGAAAGTGAATGTATGATAATAATTAAACAGTAGCTAATTAAGGAAATTAAATAATAAGTCATCTTTCTACTCCTCGTCTTGTCTCTTTCCTTTCCTGGACATCTCTTTAATTTTCCATTTACTTTTTTCTTTTTAATATTTTTTAATAATTTATTTTTAAATAAAAACCATATCCAATATTTATTTATTTGTTCGACTTCTGTTTTATGCAAATTTAAAGCTTTACATCTTAGGAACCAAAATGAAAGTTTTAAAAGTACGTTACTTAAAATAAGAATCGCTCAAGTTAAAGTATGTTATTTTTTCATGCAATTTACTTAATGAATAATGATTGAAATATGTATAGGAAATATTCTCTTAGTAGACATTTATTTTCAACTTCGGCATCTTACATCTTTGTTCTACGTAATTTTCTTGTCCTCTATCGGAAAATGTTTTATAAGTCATCATCACTAAAACCATGACCACCACTACTATTTACAAGCATGACGTTACAAACAAAAAACCATTGTCGACCCTCATAAAGTGTTTCTTAAAATTTGGTCCCGAGATTATTGGTTGAGAAATTATATCTTTTATTTAACTGATCACGTGAAAAACACCAACGTAATTTTTTTCTAAGTATGGTGTTTTTTTTGTGAATTTTATATTTTATAAGAAAATAGTTTGCGATTTAAAATCTATTCATTTTGGAAAATTCTTTGGTTTTTTATTTGGAAAAAAAGTCTTTATTTACATATGATAATATAAAAATTTATCAATTACATATTTATATTTTTGTTATTATAATTTATTTTATAATTCTAGACGTATTGTATTTGATAACGTATGTATTTTAAAAAAGTAAATCCATTATTATATATGACTTGGGATCACGTGATAACAATATATTTTCATGATACTTGTAAGACCATTTTTTTACACTTGAAATTTTATAACAAACCCCTGTGAAGGAAAAAAAAAAGCCAAACCTTCACCACAAAAATATTGTGAAGGTAAAAAAAGTCGAATCTAACAACAAATACATTGTGAAGGTTACCTTCACAGCATTTTGCTGTGAAATTTCGAGTGTAAAAAAATGGTCTCACTGGTCTCATGAAAACAAGTTGGTCTCGTGTGAACCCAACCCACTATATATTGTTATATACACTTCTATTTATTAATTTTCTTCTTACAGATATTAATATCAAAACTTGTTTTTTACGTTTTTAATACATAATTTGATCTGATTTTGAATTATTATTATTATTATTATTATTATTTTGATTACTTTAGCACTTAAAAGTTAGTATTTTATTTGATGTATCCTTTAACAAAATAAGAAGAAATAAAATTTTATTAAGAGGGAAAAATCAATTAAATTTTTATCATTTTTACATTTTTTACACTCCAAAGAAAATAATAAAAAATCAAATATCTAAAATACATTTAATGGTAAATCATAACCTATAATACATTATTGATTTACAGGAGAGTTGTAAATACAAACTTTTTAATCAGTACAAACCAATTTTAACTGTATATCTTCTAATGAATATATGATTTCTTAAATATCTCGATTATTTCTTAATCTAAAACGTTAATCATAATGAATAAACTCCTGATCATATTCTATAAATATTTAAATCATAATAAATAAATTTTTATCATTTCCATACATATCTAATTTGATTTAATTTGTATGGTTTATACTAATTAAACAATTTCTCTTTAAAACTCTCTCTTGATTTATATAGTACTAAAGAGTTGTTTGTTTACCTATTAATAAATCCATTTAGAGGCAGTCTCTGAATCGTTAAGAGGTGAATCTCGTTTGACAAAAAAAAATTGTTTCTTAATGGTTCTAAAACCCTTTAAATGATTTTATATTATGAGTCTCTCTTAACCATTCAGCGTCCAAATTTCGTTGTAAATAATTATCACATATTTATATGTTTTATTCTGCATCAAACCTTTCAATAACTACAAAACAATACCTAAAATTTAACCTAAATAATTTATAAAAAAAAACTGCAGATGATCCCTTTTTAATAGGAATGATTCGAATTTCAAACTTTAAAATAGAAAATTGCACTATTTTTTTATTAATTAAACTATTTTGAATCAATATACATGTAAATTATATATATGTGTATATATATATATATACGTATAGATATAGAGAGAGAGAGAGAGAGAGAGAGTATTTGGCAGAGAAAATTTTAGACAAGATCTAGTAAGAGAGGGAAGGTGCTGGGAGAAGCTATAACCCAATCCAACCCCAACCCCACCCCCCCTCCCCGCCACAATCTATACTTTCATAGATAGATACATATATGTATCTATAGCCCACCTTCTTCCTATCTTTCTTTATGAATCCTAGGTTTCTTTTTCTTCCTATTCTTCTTCTCACCTCTTCTTTTTAGACTTCAAATTATTAGTCATAAGATGATGAACAAACAAACACTCCCTTTCTCTTTCTGATCATCATTCACATGTAGAGACCTCTTTTGATCACTTCTTCTGCTTTCTGCAAATCGATTTTGTTCCCTTTTTTTGGCCGGAGAAATGTGGGATCTAAACGGGTCACCCGATCTGAGAAAGGACCAAGAAGGATCCAACGCTTGTTCTTCGCCGGTGGAAGTAGATGAGGAACCTAATAGTAAAGGTAAACGGGTCGGATCCGTATCCAATTCCAGTTCCTCCGTCGTGGTTATGGAGGAAGACGACGCCTCCGACGAGGACGATTCCGAGAGGATGACTTCAAGAAAACGGTTGTTTGGGTTCTCTATGGACGGCGATCCGCCGCCGGTAACCCATCAGTTCTTCCCTATCGATGATCCTCAAGTGGGTCCCACAACCTCCCTCGCCGTTGGTATCTCCCCGGCCACGGCTTTCCCTGCGGCTCACTGGGTCGGTGTTCAATTCTGCCACCAGTCTCCCGGTCCTATTTCCGGCGCCACCGCCGCCAGCAGCGTCGGTGGGTTTCTCGGGAAAGCTGCCGTGCCGGAAGTTCCCCAGCCACTCAAGAAAAGCCGCCGTGGACCACGTTCTAGAAGCTCACAGTATCGTGGAGTCACTTTTTACCGACGAACCGGCCGATGGGAATCGCACATATGGTTGATTTCTCACCCTTTTTAAATTAATTATTTTTTGCAACCAAAAATCTAATAACAATAAATATTATAATAAAATAAACCTTGAATTTAATTTTCCGAAATAAAAATTCGATTTTTCTTAAACAAAATTCGTCTTCTTTTAAACCCTTTTTAGGTTAACGATTTATAGTCTAATTAAATCATGTTTTTCATGATTTAGGGATTGTGGAAAACAGGTGTATCTGGGTACGTTCTATTTCCTTTTAATTTTATAAATTATTTTCCATAAATTAGCACCATTTTTATTAAGGAAATTAATATAAATTCGTCGTTGTTACACAGGTGGGTTCGACACCGCACATGCAGCTGCACGGTGAGAACTGCGAAACAATTAATCAAAACCCTTTTATTTAATTTCTTTTACAATTAATTAATTAATTTAAATTAAAAAAAACAAATATTTTAAATAAATAAATCAACCAAAAATATGGTGTTGCAGTGCATACGATAGGGCAGCTATCAAGTTCCGTGGAATCGAAGCCGATATAAATTTCAGCCTACAAGATTACGAAGATGACCTGAAACAGGTAACTGGTTGGTGTCACTGTGTGTGTTTTCACTTTTTAGTGTGTGTGTTTTTAGATTTTCCCCTTATCTTGAACAGTAATCATCTGTTACCTTATCTTGAAACATGTTTCTTCTGTTGCTGTTTTTCAAGAAAACACACCCACACACACACACACCCACCCACAGTCTTTAATTTCCCTCAAGACTTTCCACAAACTGTTGTTGTTTTTGTTTTCAAAAAGAAAGATCCACACTTTGTTTACCATATGAGAAAGCTACCTGCAACTATATCATTATTTAACTGTTTTTGTTTTTGTTGTTTTTGTTGTTGTGACTTTTGGGTTTTTTGGAAACAGATGAGTAATCTAACCAAGGAAGAGTTTGTGCATGTACTAAGGAGACAAAGTACTGGATTTCCAAGAGGGAGTTCCAAGTATAGAGGTGTTACCTTGCACAAATGTGGTAGATGGGAAGCAAGAATGGGCCAATTCTTGGGCAAAAAGTACCTTCTTTTCAACCCACCATTTTCTTGAAATCTGTCGTCAAAACTTCAAGATTTCACTCATACAACTTCTTCAATAGATTAACATTCAAGGGGTGTTTGAGATTGCTTATTTGAAACAACTTATATCAACTTATTATAAGTCATAAAGGTTTTAACTTATTCAAAAACTTTTTATTACTGGTTTGACACCGATACAGGGTGTTTATCCAAACACTCAGAAGTGTTCATTACCGGTGTCATACCGAAATAAGTCAATAAGTTGTTTTTATAAGCAATCCCAAACACCCCCCTAGTATCACATGTATCTCAAAGCAACAAAATTGACTTTATTATGACATCAAAGACGTCTAAATGCAACCGCCTTTATAGGAATTATGTTTAACGGGTCAAACAATGTATGTTCTATGAAAATGTCTTACAATAATATATATATATATATATATAGGACGTATAGTTGTTTGGTTCTATAGATCAGTGGCATTGTATACAGATATTTGTCGTGGTACAGTTAAAACTGGTTTTATTTTATGCAAATCTGTCGTCTACTTAAAAAAAATAAAGTGATTATTTAATTGGATAAGAGTGTAGTTATTTCAAAACTAACCCTATAAAGAAGGTGTACTTGTATTTCTATTTATATATAAAGCTGGCTAGCTATGAACTATGGCTAGACCTATCTACCTACTTGTATTCATTTCATCAAAGTTAAATCACTTCAAAGACACTTGATATTTTTCCATTTTTGGCTTATTTTTCTTTCATTGCACTTATAGGTATGTATATCTGGGTCTGTTTGACACTGAAGTTGAAGCTGCCAGGTAAATATGAGTATTTTTCATTTTTGAAGGACTGATATGTCAATTGTTTGTATTTAAGGGGGGTTAAATGAAAATATATATGTTTTTATTAGGGCTTATGACAAGGCTGCCATCAAATACAATGGAAAGGATGCTGTTACCAATTTTGATCCCAAGATTTATGAAAAGGAGTCTAATGTCACCGGTAATAATAAGGGTGTGTGAGTTTATTTGTTGCATTTGTCGTATATAAATATTATATACTTTAATATATATATATATATATATATATATATATGCTTTTTTATGTTGTTTTGTTTTGAATTTTTTTGTTTATGTTGACTGTAAAATGCATGGTTTTTGTGTAGAATGTTCGAATAACGACAATCATGCGTCTTCTTATCACAATCTTGATTTGAGCTTAGGGCACAATTCTGCCCCGAATAAGCAAAGTAATCGAGATCTTGGATTCAGACCCGGGGTATGTTTTTCTTTTTGACACTCGCATACAATTCTCACATTTAGTGAGGTGAAAAACCACAAAGGTGGTTTCTGATTGGTTTGAGTCTGGCTTCGAAGGTCAAAAGTACCAGGAGGTCCCATGTTCAAATCCAAATAAGAATAAAAATCCCCTTGTGGCCACGGAGATTCAAATGCGGTGACTCCGGGCTATTTGCAAAGCAGGTGGTCGCACTGGGATTAGTCGGCTCACATAGTGGATTGGATATACAAGTTAATTAAAAAAAACATTGACTTCTTAGAAAACCAAGTTTTGCTGGTAACCTGGGTACCGCTGGGTCAATGACCCTTAGATTTATGTTATTTACAAGTTATTCCAAGTTTTGTGTGATCGATTGGTTAATTATAACCTTACATTCGTGTAAAGAAGGCATTTGGAGTGGGTCGATATAACGAAACGGAGACATTACAGCTTATAAGCCAGACACATCTTCAATCCGCTGGATCATCTGAGGGTCGTAGCAACGAATCGCATGGATATGGGCATTTAACGAGACCCGGTGACCCCTCCATGTTTCATATGTTACGCCCACCGCCCCTCAATTCTCCAAATCACCAAGTGAGTCCTTCTATTTGTTCGCATGCCTTCATTTCTTTCGGTTTTCCAACCTTCCTGCTGTTTGGTTTAGTCAAGAATTCGAAGTTTTGATCACGGGTATTTTAATCGTGAATGAAACAATTGTTTCGTGTGTTTTACACAAAAGTCACTGCCACAAAATCGATTTTATAGGACGTCAGAATGTCTAAATGTCATAATAAATTATTTTATAGACACTTGTTTTTATGAAACATTTTCAAATTATGTCATGTAAAAATACTAATAACCAAGATATTTTATTTCAAAATTATTATAAAAACTTGTTAAGATACTCAAAAACGTCCAATCAACTTACTATAACACTTTATATGAGACACCTGCTATGTTTGGTCTTATAAACTTTAAGACCTAAAAAACAGGCTAGAGAGAGAGAGAGAGATAGTCAGGTTTATACGAGAACAACAACCAAATAAGTATTTAAGAAAACGGTCTACATATGATTTTACACTAAAATCACATGTGATTCACGTATCTTTGGTCACTAGCCATGTCACCCCACAATCTTGCATTGACCGTTAGTATAAAACTAAAATCACATGTGATTTGGTCGTTTTCTTATTAATTTATTTGGTTACGATTCTCATTTAAACCTCCCTCTCTCTATGTGCCCTATAAAGTATATATTTTGTTGTAGTGAGCGTTTGTTGCATCTTATACGTACATACATATATATATATATGTATGTATATATACATGTGCGATTAGAGCAATTTCTTGGTTATGAGATATATAAAAATGTATGTATAGGTTGAGCAGTGGTCAAATGGCAATGGCAATGGTAATGGAGGTTTATTGTATGCAAATAGTGGTGCAGCATCATCAGGATTCCCGCAACAAAGATTTAACATGAGACAGCCCCCCGCCCCACCCCATGCTCATCAAACATGGCAGCTGCACAAGAATGGCTTCACCACCACTCTGTCTTGATGATTCAGCTATCAATCACACACACACACACACACTTGTTGCTACCCCCTACGTACCCCTATCACTCGTACAAGTCTTGAAAGATCTTCTGTCTGAAAAAATTGCACCGCCAGTTCTTGTTTTGTTTGTTTGCCTGTAAAGATATCAACGTTTTGTGTTAAGAGTAGCTACCTACCCCCCTCCCCTCTAGCTAGGGTTCTTCATCTTCAGGATGTGTTGGTACCCAAACATAGAATGATTTCCTTTCTTTGGATTTGGGTGTTATTTAAGGAAATTTTAAAGAAATTTTATTGGTTTTGGATCATCATCAACCTATTTACTGATTCTTTTTTCTTTCTTTCTTTCTTATATATATATATATGATAAGAGTGTTCTCGCATTTTCGTAAAATGGATGTGTTCTCGTTTGAACCTCCACCTATATATATGTATATATATAATATCTATATATATATATAATACATATATATATAGGTTGGTTATTATATAACATTTTACATTTGTACAACTAATACAAYTYAATCTYAACYGTYCWTTTAATTTGATGAATATGTGATTTCATATAAGTTTTGATTGTTTCATAATATAAAGTATTGATCATAATTAATGAACTCTATTAATCTTTCATAAATATTCAAATCATAATAAATAAACTCTCATCATTTCTATAAATATCTCAATTAATTGGGTTGCATTGGTTGTACAAATGGACATGTTATATATATATATATATATTCATAATAAATRAACTCTCATCATTTCTATAAATATCTCAATTAATTGGGTTGCATTGGTTGTACAAATGGACATGTTATATATATATATATATATATATATATATATAGGGGCCTATTCAAGGGAGAACTGAATTGTTTGTGGTAACTGTGAGAACCAATATTAACCACAAATCAATAGATAAATTAGGAAATTTATAAATTTGGTAATTTTAAATTAAAATCTTAATGCAAGGATATTTTTGGTATTCTAAAACTCTCATCTCTCCTCTCTTCTCTCTCCGGCCACCGTCCTCCGGTCTCCGACCACCGTCCTCCAGTGATACCACTGTGATATCTAAAAATATTGACTATGTTAAACAAAAGATACATTGTGATACCTAATCATATATAAGATGCATAGTGATACCACTGTGTTACATCTTCGATCGACCACGCAAACGACATCAATATGATACCCAAGCACATATATGATGCATTGTGATACCATTGCAGTATCACCGGCGGACGGTGGCCGGCGGACGGTGGCCGGAGGACGGTGGCCGGAGAGAGAACAGAGGAGGGAGAAAAGTTTTAAGATACCAAAAATATATTTGCATTAAAATTTTAATTCAAAATTGTCAAAATTATAAATTTCCTAATTTATCAATTAATTTGTGGTCAATATTGGTTCTCACAGTTACCACAAACTAATTAGTTCTCATTTGATTAAGCCCATATATATATATATATATATATATATATATATATATATAGGTAAAGATTCGTGTGAGAATGAGAGTTAAGGCGAGAAACATATGAAATGATCCAGACCATTGATCACCTTTAATCTCAAACTCATTCATGAATCATACTTGATACAAGGATTGGTCTGGTGCATCTCATCTTAACGTGCATCTAAGGGAGGAGATCTCTTATCAAACAGAAATTCAATCAATATTTGTTATAAACCCGTACAAACCAATCCAAATCTTTGAATTAATTTGATTTTTAAGTTATGAATCATCTTATTTCATATATTTTGTTCTTGTATGTTTGTTTTTGTGTGTGTGATTCTATGGAAAATGTATATAGGGATCTGTTCAAATATGAATACCACCATTTTACGAGAATACGGGAATACTTGTATTATATGTGATACTACATTAATTAGAAATTTGGGGGGATTGAGTTGTTTGTTTACCTCTTAATAGTTTCATTAAGAGTCATTCTTAATCGTGAAGAGGTGAATCTTGTTTGGCAAAAAAAAAGTCTGTCTCTTAATGGTTCTAAAACCCTCTAAATGATTTTGTATCTTGGGTTTCCCTTAACCATTCAGCGTTCTAATTTCATTGTAAATAATTACCAAACAATTATACTTCATTTTGCACTATATCATGAGAACTTCTTAATCATTTTGTAGTAAATCATTCAGTAACTATCAAATAGCCCATTTGACAGCAAACTAGGTCACAAGACAAAGTTGCGTCCACACCTCTGGTTTCTTCCTTCCATTTGGTATCACATGTGATGGCCTATAGTATTACATGTTCTTGTGTTTTCGTAATTAGAAGTGTATCTGTGCAATATTATAATGTAATACATCTAAATTTTGTTTCTTTAATTCTTTTTTACAAAGAACAGTCTTTTGTTGACCATCAGTTTTATGGAGTATTTTGTTATATTAGTAGGCTCAATACTTATATTATATTTGAATATATTTACTTACATGTTGGTTATTTAATTTAATTTTATAAGGTTCAAACATCTATAGTATATTATAAAGTATTTAACAAAAACTATTTTTTATGTATGAAGTACTGTACATTGATGCATATTACTTAAAATTTCAGATTACAAGTAAATTATGCACAAGTACAACTTATTAAAGCTCCATGTTTGAATTCGTGTAATTAACTACGGATAAACATAATCAAATTAAGGATAAACATCTCATTTTTAAAATATAAAAAATCTAAAATATAATTAGAATGATTATCGAGTTTTAACAAAATAATTAGTTATTATCAGTATAAGAAAATTATATTATTAAACAAAATATATATTACTTCGTTATTGAACTTAAATTAAATTATAATAAAAAACTGAAATAAAAATTACACAAAAAATAAGGAATTTTAAATAGTTAATTTGATACTAATATCGATATATTTTTGTCAAATTTTTATGATATCTTCAAATTTATATTTTATTAAAAATAAAAACATCATCGTTTTTTTCAAAATCACATAAGATCATATTATAACATCGACTGAGATAAAGAATAAAATAAAATATTAAAATCAAAATGTATCTCGATGCATTGCGATTTGTGCGAGTACCCTTCTAGTATTAATAATTTGTGAATGTTATATAATATTGTAATATTGTTGGATTAGTATACCCGGGATTGAAATTTTAAAAATCGGGTTAAAAAAATTTTAAAAAAATTATTAATACGGTTATCTATACTATCTTATTAAGCAAATTTATCAAAAGTCTTAAAATCTTAAAATTCTAAATGACCAAGATACCCTTTATATTACTTTTTCACTTTATACCCCTATAATTAGTTAATTAATTTATTTTACGTCCTTTGTTTTTAAATGTTTCATTTTAAACCTTTATCAAATTAACATACATAATCGTATATCAATTAAAACATGTTTAAAAATACATTTTTATTTTAACAAGTTACATCATTATAATCGTCTCGTTAATACCTTCGAAACGAGTCCAATATTGAATAGTTTTTGACTTAATTATATTATTATATGTTATATATATTGTGAAAAAATATTTTTAATATTTATGATATATATATATATATATATATATATTATATTTTGGGATTAGGCTGGCTGGAGAGCATATTATGTTTTCTGGGTTGTGCTTTTTGGCAGCTATCTGGCGTCCAAATTGCACTGTATAATATGTTATGAATTAATATGTTCTTGGGTTTTTTTGAAATATATATATACATGTATTAATTCAACTTTAATCTGAGTTTCTGGACAAGAAAGAGGGTAAGCAGTTGAAATTTCATTCTAAAACCCATCTTTTTTTGTCTTTTCATGACTTATGATCTGTCAAATTTGTAGTTTTCCTTATTGGTTTTGAGTGTTTATCTTAAAACTCAAGTTTCTTGGTTCTTTGCTCTTTGTGTAAATCGAACACATTTGTGGAGTCGTTTAAATATGTTGGATTTTAAATATATTGGATTTTAAACTGTCATACAATTTTTTTCATCGATAATCTGTAATTGGAACCGTAACTCTTATTTATTCAAATTGTATTAATATGTAAAGACCAAGTGTAACCTATACCACCGTTAAATCTTATCTTATAAAACCAATGGAACTTCAAAATCGTTAAAATTCATGGCTCACGCCGCATTGCGCGGGTACACAACTAGTCAAATTAAAGAGACAAAATACCCGATATTTTAATATAATTTATTTAATTTTTTAAAATTAAACAAATTATATCAAAATACCCCATTCAAGATGATTTAGATCTTTCTAAAAAATTTGAGATAAATCCTTTGTATGCACCTAAACAATATTCAAACTTTCACGTGTTATTGTTTATAAATATTATTAAACTTATAAGATTTAGGGTCCGTTTATCAAACACTTACCCGGTAATTACTTACCAATAAAATTTAGCATTATCATTACTTACTATGTAAGATTTTAGTCCACCAGAACGGTATCGTATGCAACAATTTACCCGGTAAGCGCTTATTATGGTAAGAGTCGTCACCTCACATACCGGGTAAGACTCTTGGTCCTTATTTCGCTCTTACCTGATAAGATTCTAGGTCCTCACCATATTTGTCTGATAAGATAATGTAACTTGGTGCTCACTTACCTGAGTAAGCGTTTGGTAAACAGCTCCTTAGTACACATTATTAATTTAAAGGTCATTTACCAAACACTTATCAGATAAGCGTTCAATATTCCAATTATCTTACCATATGAGCATAGCAAAAACCGAGAATTTTTATCCGGTAAGAGGCAATGTAACTTTTGTTACTAAAAACTTACCCATTAATCATTTGATAGACAACCTTTTATACATAAAACTTAATACTTGTTTTCTTGAAAATCAATAGTTTTAAAAAGATAATTCCAAAATCATTTATAGTATAGTGATACCCAGATATACATACAAGATTCATAATGTGATACCCTTTGTAAATCAATGAAAACAACGAAAATGCACACTATTATATATTTCATAAAACAAATAAAAATACATTGTGATACACGTGAAACGTTGTGAACGTTATCACTATGATACACTTTAATTCACAAATGTCGTTAAAATATGATGTATATTAGGTAATTGATATACTAGGTATATAATTTTAATTAAATATTTTCTTTTTCTAAAAAAAAAATTAAATATTTTGAGTTGTCAAAAGTAAAATTACTATATTACCCTTTTAACTTATTTCAGAAATATCCTTAAATATCTCAAAACGAGTATTTCATATTGGATCTCATGGTTATCACAAACTAGTCAGTTCTTTTTTCAATGAACCCCTATAAGACTAATTTATGTTCATTAATCGAGTTTATAAGCTA